CCCCCCCCCCCCCCCATGATTTTTTCCTCTGCCATGACCATTGTTTCGACCACAATCTGTCCTGGAAGAGTGCTGAATGAATTTAACATCGTTGGACATAATATGTGAAGATGATGAGCCCGTGATGGACATAGATGGGAGGGTCTGGCCATGAATAAACTCATGATCTAAAAGAAGGTTATGTAGTTCACGGAACGCGACAGATTTTGGCCGAGCTAATGAAGTTGTAGCAATATCTTTGAAGTCACTTCACAGGCCCTTTAATATGTAGTTATTCTGATAGGAAAATATGAAAGGACGAACGACAACAACTAGCTTATCACATATGAGTTTCGCTTTAATAAGATATTGAGTGATGTGTGGCCTAGTAGTGAATGAAGTGGTTAAGAACCATAAGGTCTGAGGTTCAAACCCATGTGTCGACAAAAAATACACTAGGTGATTCTTTTCATTTGTCCTAGCCTTGGTGGACAGTGTTACTTGGTACCTGTTGCTGGTGGGAGGTGGGAGGTGGCAGGCTAAGTTGCGTAGACTCTTCACTTTCAATGCCGCACGCCTGTCGGATTCTCCAAAAATACACTACTTTTGGAGAATCCGCACGCACCCGTTGACATTTTTGAAGAGTCTGAGCAACATAAGTGGCAGGTATCTTGTGCAATTAGTTGAGGTGTGCGAAAGCTGGCTCGGACACAACGGTCATTAAAAAAAAGATATTGAGTGATATTCATATCTTGCTTCATATTTTGAAGTTGCATATGAAGATTGAGAATTCTTGTTTTGGAAGGCAAGGAGAGAGCAACCTTCAACGCGTCCCAAACTTCTTTGGTTGTGGAAAGACCAATAACAATTAAAATTATTTCTTCAGAGAGTTATGAGATAAGGAGACTTAGAATAACTTGGTCCTACATAATCCATTGAGAATAGACTGGATTGGGATAACTTCTTTATCGTTATTTTATTTGCCCGAGATGGTGAGATGGATGGCATGAGTTACTTCCATCAACATATCCAAAATGGTTTTGGCCACGAGGGAATGACAAAATTTGTGTTTGCCAGAATAGGTAGGTAGAAGAATTAAGTGTGATTGAGATAAAGTGGTGTGCATGATTGAGGGGTGATGGAGGAGATGGGTTGCCAGAATTCATTCGTGATTGCTTGAAGGAGAGAGGTTGGGTACTGCCAGAACCAGAAGTATATTGTTTCTTGTTCACTGTTGAATTGATACATGAAGGGAACATATACACAATAGAGTAAACCAAGTCTAGGACTCCTACATACAACATTAGACTACAAATAAATAATAGATGGTGGTACGATAGGAGTTATATCTGGGCAAGGACTCGAGCTGCTCGACTTGGATGTTAACTGTCTAATATAAAGTGGCATGCTTTACTTGGTTGGTAGTTAAATAAGTTGTTCTAACCGAAGATAATCTAAGGAAAAGAGGTATATCAATTTGTTCAAGGTGTTACATGTATAGACAAGAGGTAGAGACAATCAACCATCTATTATTATATTGCAAGTGACTAGTCAGCTGTGGGACTTGTTTATTAACCTCAAGGGTATTATAAGGGCAATGCCAGGTAGAACAACTAAACTTTTTTCATGTTGGAATGAAGGAGGTAAATTACTACCAACAAGCCAGATGGAGGATCGTCCTAGCAGCTATTTGGTGGACTGTTTGGAAGGAGAGAAACTCAGTATGCTTTGAAGATACAACTAGCAATATGCATAAGATCAAGATGAACTGCATTGTCCTCCTTTATTTTGTGTGTGTAAAACTGAATATATTGATAATCTTGATTCAATTTTACAGGTTTTAGATTCCTTGTAAGAAGAGCAAGGTCTGTAGTTTGGTTTTTGTTGTAAACATCTTTTGGTTTCTAGCACAATCTGTGTGCTGAATTCATATACTCCCTCAATCCCAATATAAGTGTGCAGTCCTTTAAATCTTGTGGTCTTGAACTTCCAGGTAGAATGTTGAAATTGAAAAACTTAAACTAATTATTGAAAGAGACTCGTTTTGGGACAAACCAAAAGGAAAAGTAAGACATTTAAATTGGGATGGAGAGAGTCATATTTTGGAATATGTATTTTTTCCAAAAAAAAAATCTAGGTATATTTGGATTCATGTTAAAAATAATATTAGTTGTATTGGAAAATACACTGATACCTCAAATTGCAAAAACAACATACCCAGTATGATCCAAGGAAGGGTGGGGTGTATGCAAACCTTACTCCTACTTTATGAGGTAGAGAGGCTGTTTCCAATAGATCACGACTCAGAAAAAACGTAAAAACAAATTGTGGTGAAATTACTGTAGAAAAGAAAAGAGGAGTACTGACATCCTCAAATTGCAGTTGACACAAATTAACTATTTCACTGCTCCCAGTTTTTCTTCACTGTGCTGCTGAAACTATGCAAGCTTTCGATCAACTTTCTCTCAACGTTGCCTACTGTCCCAGCCCATTGCTTCCTTTAATCCCAATTGTTCCTCCATATCATCAACATTAATGTAGACAATTATAACCAATCAAATCAGCTTGTATTCTTTTCTAAATACCCCCTTTTCTGCCGCCACTACCACTACTTTACCAATGAAGTCTATGTCTTTTGATACATCATTTTTCCTGCATAGCCATAAGAGTAGCTATTGTATGAAGCCAAACAAATAAGGCATGATTTCTTATAATCCACACTTGAATAATCATAGCTCTTGTTTGGAATCTGCCATGTAAAACTAGTTTGTGGATCATCTTGTGGTTACCCATTACCGGATGATGGGTTTGGACTTGACCCACTACCTTTCAATTTAGCTAGTTATCCAATTCTTTTCAGGTCCAAATTGTAATTTATTCCCCCCCTTATATATTTATGTAAGTAATGTTGCGGTCAATAATTATAATCATTACTTCGGGTCATTGCAATGTTTCTCTAACATCTACCGCTTGAATTGTATTTTGAAGGAACATGACAGTCAGTCCAAGTAGCTTCATCTCATTTGTGTCAGAGATATTTCCGTTACTTCAGGTATCAATTGTAGTATTGTCCGTGAGCTAAACTTTATTTTAGTGTTTTGATTACTTTGTTTGATGATTTTACTCTCTTCAAGGTCATTTAGTGCATCTGGAGTTTAATATTCTTTTGAAACAATGATCTAAAACGTTCTTCTCAAGCTTGATTTGGGAAGTTCAGCACAGTAATTTAAGAATTTGGCATGACTCGTAGTAGAGCTAGTTGCTTTGTGTTTTATCAACATTCTGCATCAAATCCAATATTTCATGAGAAGACTAAGCACATTGAGATTGACTGTCAATTTTGTCAAGTCGACTGATCAACTTGCAAATATCTCACCAGCTCCTCATCGGTTCTCATATTAATTACATTTGTAACAAGTTAGGTACATATGACTTGTATGCACCAGGTTGAGGAGGAGTGTTAGAATAGGAATATATATATACAATCCTACTTAGAATAGGAATAGGAATAGTATTAGGAACATGATTAATAAATAGTATCCTACTTGGTAAAGAATTGTATTGTAGTGTCTATAAATAGGGTCTCTATGTAACAATATAGATACAACAATTCAATAATATTTTTCTCCTATATTTCTCACATGGTATTAGAGCCTCTACGATCTTGGTAGAGAATGAAAGAGCTTCCGCTGTCGGCGGGCGACTCTGGCCAATGATTATGTTAGCGAAAGTTGGGTCATCGTGTATCTTTCAAGTGACTATTTTCTCATATCAAATTTTTGTAGCACCGTGCCATCATTCCGATGACTACTTTCTTATATCTAATTTGTGTAGCATTGTATCATCTTTTTGGTGACTACTTTTTCATATTTAATTTGTGTAGCACCGTGCCATCATTCATATCTTATTTGTCTAGCACCATGCATCCTTTCAGTGACGACTTTCTCATATCCGATTCGTGTAGCACCGTGCCATCTTTTCGGTGACTACTTTTTTCATATCTGATTTGCGTAGCATCATTTTTTCCGGTGACTACTTCCTTATTTGTGTAGGGTCGTGCCATTATTCCGACCCTACCCGTATAATTTCTCTTTTTTAGTAGGGTGGTGTCGTTAATCAGACTCTACCTATATAATTTCTATTTACCAATAGGATCATGTCATCATTCCGACCCTACCATATAATTCTCTTTCTTAGTAGGATCGTGTATCATTCCGACCCAATCCGACCCGACCCATATAATTTATTTCTCAAATTGTGACCACTTTTAGCCATCAAATCTAGTACTCTGACACATGAGCATGTTCCAATTTTGAGCACTTTCTGGCGACCATGCACCGGGAAGAAGTCTATATGGAACAACCATCTAATTTTGTTGCTCAAGGGAGTTGAGTAGCCTTGTATGTTGAATCTAAAACGTTCTTCTCAAGCTTGATTTGGGAAGTTCAGCACAGTAATTTAAGAATTTGGCATGACTCGTAGTAGAGCTAGTTGCTTTGTGTTTTATCAACATTCTGCATCAAATCCAATATTTCATGAGAAGACTAAGCACATTGAGATTGACTGTCAATTTTGTCAAGTCGACTGATCAACTTGCAAATATCTCACCAGCTCCTCATCGGTTCTCATATTAATTACATTTGTAACAAGTTAGGTACATATGACTTGTATGCACCAGGTTGAGGAGGAGTGTTAGAATAGGAATATATATATACAATCCTACTTAGAATAGGAATAGGAATAGTATTAGGAATAAGAATAATAAATAGTATCCTACTTGGTAAAGGATCGTATTGTAGTGTCTATAAATAGGGTCTCTATGTAACAATGTAGATACAACAATTCAATAATATTTTCTCCTATATTTCTCACAACTTTGTTTGATGATTTTACTTTCTCTTCAAGGTCATTTAGTGCATCTGGAACTTTTTTTGTTTTGAAATAATGATGTACGAACCGACTTGGTAACTGGAAAACATAATCTTGAAATATTGTCTGATTGTATTTTCTAAAACTTTGCCATGGTTGAGCCTGAATTTCTTTATCTTTGTATTAGTGAATTTTGGCATGCAGTTAAAGTAAATTATAGCAAATTCCAGTGCTAGTTGATTACCAATTAATTATTTTGGGAACTCCATTTCTTGAGTGATTCTAATATTATACAGCAGTTATGTAATTCAGATGTATTCCCCTTGTTATTTGGAAGTAAATAGTGTTTCGAACTGCTCATTCATTAACTACTGTATGATGTTACTTGCAGATTTATGCTGGCTCATTTTTCACCATTCCCTTGATCCGATGGTTTCTTGTTCAAAAGAGAAATGGTGAAATTGAAAGAAGAAATCGATCCAGGGAACAATATGCACAAGCACTTGAACGACCCGATGTCTCACTGCGGACGAAGGTATCAAATTTTTGCTGCTTTCTTTACTACTCCCTCCGTTCCAATTTATGTGGTAGTATTTCCTTTCTATTTCGTTCCAAAAAGAATGGTAAATTTCTAAATTGGAAATTCTATCAACTTAAACTTCTCATTTTATTCTTAATGACAACCTTCTATAACCACACAAAAGTAATGTGGCATGTTTAACAACATTTTAGTTGTGTATTTTGGTTACTTAAACTTGTTTTTGGTTATCTTGTTGTAGGCTGTAAAAAGTAGTTTTATGTAGTTAATAATAGGTCATGGACTGCACCAAAGGGTGTGGCCTAGTGGTCAATGAAGTGGTCGAGAACCCTACGGTCTCTGGTTCAAATCTTAGCGGAGACAAAACACAAAACACTAGGTGATTCTTCCCATCTATCCTAGCCTTGGTGGACAGAGTTACCTGGTTGCCTATTACTGGTGGGAGGTGGCAAGTATTCCGTGGAATTAGTCGAGGTGCGCGAAAGCTGGCCTGGACACCACGACCATCAAAAATAAAAAATTATTAGACCATGGACTTGGATTTACCAAATGATAAGAATGTCTGTGCGATTCAATCATTATATATACACACACACACTAGTTCTCGAACACGTATATCTCATACTAATTAGTATTAATGTTTTAAAATGATATAAATAATACTGAAGTATGTATATGATGAAAACTGTAGGAGAATGCAAGTGCGAATTGATGAATGAATAACCTATTGGACTGATATGTACTTATTTTCAAACTATGAATGTGAGAATATCCTTTATTTTATTTTTTTCGAGAATTGGTAAGTAGAGCGACCTTTTATATTAGCAAGAAGGGACCACGTATTGTGGGGGATGTTGCGACCCTAGTGCAATCTTCTACCATGCTAAACAGTCCGGTATTTAATTTTCTGTAAGTTTATATCTGGTCTCTTTGGACTTCATCTACACTTGGTGTTTTTCTGTTGAAATAGTAAATATATATTATAAACAGTAAGGCTCAAAGATTGTGGGATACATTTTATTACATCAATAAACCAAAACATCCCCGTTTATGTATGCCATACATATATGAACTATTTCGGAAATTGAGGTGAGATTACACGGGATTGTGGTGTCTAAATGCAAATAATTATGATATCTAGGCTTGTTATTCCGAGAGCATGCAATAATAGATTAAGATGTCACACAAAGATTCAAAATCAGATAGTTGAAATGGGGGAGTGCTATCGAGGTGTTATGTGATAGAAAGATGTCTTACCAAAGTGAAAGATAAGTTCGACAAAACAATTATAAGACCAACAATGTTTTATGGGAGTGAATATTAGGCCGCTCAAGGCCAACACATCCACAGGATGAGTGTCGCAGAAATGTGGAAGCTAAGATGGATGTGTGGTCATACATGACTAGACAAAATTAGAAATGACCACATTTGTGATAAGGTCAAGTAGCACATATCAAGGATAAAATAATAGAAGTCAACTTGAGATGGTGGTCATGCCCTGTGTCAACCGCCAAACGCATCAGTTCTATATGTAAAATCATGGTGAGTGAAGGCGTTAAAAGAAGACAAGGTAGACCTAGAGCCATTTGGAAGGAAGTTGTCTCGAAGGACCTAAAACCAGAGGCGTATCCAGGATTTGGAGGGTAGGGGTGCCACACAACACTGCTATTTATAAAGTCCAAATAACGTAAAGATATGATCCTTTGCGCTTTGGTTCGGATTATTTGTCTTTTTCTTTATATAGACAAATCGATCAAACGAAAAAATTGAAATAATTATGACAACTTAGTGCCAAGAAAAAGCTTTTAACAATATTAGTAATATCATAAATATGTCATCGATTTTTAATTGCACTCGACAAGTTTTCATATTCTAAAAACACTCAATGATGGCATAACTATTTGTATTATTTAAATACTTCACACTTTATGTAACAAATTAAATATAAAGTGGTTGAGAACCCTAAGGTCTCAGGTTCAAAACTCAGCGGGGACAAAAAATACTAGGTGATTCTTCACATTCGTCTTTGCCTTGGTGCACAGAGTTACCGATACTTGTTGTTGGTGAGAGGTGACAAGTATCTCATGGAATAAGTCGAGGTGCGCAAAAGCTAACTCAAACACCATAGTCATCAAAAAAAAAAGTAACAAACTAAATATAAAGAGGCCGAAGATCTTCACATACATAATTTCAATAACTTAGACGAAGTAATATTAAGAAGTCCCAGTGGTTTGGGCTTGGGACTTTCATGTTGGAGGTCTCAAGTTCGAAACCCCTTGCCAGCGAAAGCAAGGGGTTTGCCTTCTGGGTCGAGCTCGTTGCACCGGACTTAACTAGTGCGGGTTACCTCTCCTATGTGATTTGCAAGCTATTGCATAGGAGCGGGGGTTTTACCTTGTGCGCACCCAAAGGGTAGCGGCTGCGGGTTTTCCTTGTCATCAAAAAAAAAAATAAGTCTCAAGCCTTGACAATAATAATAAATCTAAAGAGGCCGAAGAAATCAAATGTAATCAGAGCCTTGCTTTGTAATTTGAAGTTCTTGATCTAGAGCCCCCCATTTTTCTTGCTCTGTGTTGCTGATTTCCACTTGACTAGATGGTAGCCTTTTTTCTCCTTATTCTCTTGCCAAAGAAAATTCATCCTGATACTATCAAACCTATTGATGATCCCTTTTGAATAGTCACAGGGTAGTAGACCATAGAATACTCTTGTAAATATGGTTTAGTGCAACCTATGCATTGTTTTGGTTCTTAATAGATACAGAAACAATTACTAGGGATGGCAATGGGGCGGAGCAGATGCAGAGCGATTTTTAGCTTATGCGGGGCGAGGCGGGTGCTAACAAATAATTGTAAATTTCAAGCGGGGTGGGGCAGTTGTGGGTTGAAACAAATGGCTGAAATTTCAACATTAATTTCGCTCGCTGGCATCACAATCTGTGCTAGAAGACCCATTTGAACTCCAATTTTTTAACCACTTTTGAATTTAATTTAACCAATTTAGATTTATTATTAATCAACATTCAACAATAATAATTAAAAAATGAAATAAAGAGTGGATTAAAAATAAGTTTATTTAATGTTTTAAATAACCATTAAAAAAATTACTAAAGGCAACATGATAAGAGGTTTGGGCATCTGTCGAGGATATTCATCTTCTTTGTCATTTAAGATTTTATTTTCTTAACACTACAATCCCTGTAGTATTAGTCATATATTAACTTCTTCTTTTCTTTTTTTTTTTAAATATTAACTTGAATGTTCTTTAAAATTCATTTATTATTCTGCACAATATTTTTAACCTTAAAGTATTACAGGAAAGGAAAATAATACCATATGTAAATAACAAAGTAGAAAAAAGAAAACAAATACTTATGCGGGGCGGGGCGGGTGGATTTATGCCGGGCGGGGCGGAGCTGGTTGAAATCAAAGAAAAATGTCATGCCGGGCGAGTTGAAATTTTTGCGGGTTAAGATACCCTTCCCCATTGCCATCCCCAACAGTTACCAAGGTCAACAATAATTAAGTTTAAATTTTTTTTACAACTAAGGTATTTGATTAGCGTGAGCTAAATACAATATATTGATACATTTGAAGATCATTGTCCCATGGCTTGATGGATAAAATACTCGACTTCTAATCAAGTAATTGTGAGTTCAAATCATTCGGGCATGAATTTTTTTTCAAAAGAAATGAAGAACGCAGCATAAAAATTCTACAAGAGTGTCATACTAGAATCGAGCTCACATCCTTGAGACATAGATTAACCGCTTGCAACTGGAACCTCACACTACTTTGTGACTATGGGTGGCACAAAAAACATTTGAGAATATTGCTATACATATACAAAATTTCGACTGAGGCTTCCGGATGCCATGGCACCCTCACCCATGTTCGTAGATCCGCCCCTGCCTACAACCTCTTGTGATCCTTTAAGACCTAAAAAAAGTTGGGCTACAATTATAAAAAAAAAAGAGATCCATTTAGATTCTACTTATTACTCCCTCCGTCTCATTTTATGTGACACTCTTTTTTCTTTTTAGTTTGTCCCAAAGAGAATGTCACCTTATTATAAATTTATAATTAGAAACAATTTAACTTAAAAATTCTCATTTTACCCTTGATGAAATGATTTACAGTCACACAAATATCTAAAGATTGTTTTAGACCACAAGTTTCAAAGGTTCTCCTTTCTTTCTTAAACACCATGCCAATGCCAAGTTAAACTGTGTCTCATAAAATGGGACGGAGGGAGTAGTTGTTTTAGTCATGTCATCATTTTTACTTACGTTCTACGCCTTTCTAACAGTTGTTTAGCCTTTCAAAGATACATCACTGGAAAATATAAAGAACATAAGCTCAAAAAGAAAATATAAAGAACATACTTTTTATTTTTGTTATTATTATTAGTTTGTATAATAGTGGTTCTGAGAGGAGTTAAATGAAGTAAACGTATTCATATAGCCCACTCCAACATGGTCAATAAGGATTCTTATATTTCTTTCTCTCCGTACTACACCACCAAATACACACTGGACTGATGTTCCACGTGTTCTTCATTGCTTTAGGCAAATCTTCTCTTCCGGCTTTTCAAAACTTTTGTAGTGGACATTGGCATCATCCATCTCGAACGCAAAATGTTGTAGAACATTTGCCGAACTCGAGCTGCTACAGAACAGTGTACAAAAAGATGGTTAATTGTCTCCACACCTGTAACATTTATTGCTTAACACAATGCCCCTTCTCTGCAAATTGACCTGAGTGAGACGAGCCAATGCTTGACAAGTCAATACCAATGTTTGATGCCTAGTGATTATGTTCACAGCTTTTGTTACTTATGTCTCGTTCCCACTTTCAAGATGTACCAACTCTCTTAATGATATGTATAATTTTCAGCTTCTGAGTGCCCGGGATATGGCACAGAGAACTTTTATTGGCCAGGATCGAATTGTTTACAGTACAGACAAGGACTTATATGAGCAAGATTATGATGCACAACAATGGGAGAAAAAATTCCGAGAAATTGAAAAGTCTGAATAGATGGTGTTATTCAAAGGTAATTTTGTTTTGTAAAGTCTCGAGTTCCATACACACAGAGACTCCGATAAATTATACCTTTCATTGCCTCTAGCCACGACATAAGGCAGGCAAAGCTGCAAGTCCACCAACTGTTAGCCATTGTGTATACTCAATTTGCTGATAAGAATTGGAGCATGTCAAACAGTAGATTTTGATGTAATCAGCAACATTAATCCAGGCTTAAGAACTACAAGATTCAAAGTCTAGTTCATTAAGAATGTACTTGATATGACAATCGATCTGCTACAAATGCCAGGCTTTTATAGCAAAATTAGCCTCGTTGTGACATATTTAGTCAGTTAAGATGTTACTGTGTATTTTGAATTTGGAAACATTTTTTCGAGCACAATTATTTGAATATTTTCTGAAGAGCATTGAACATTGTTTTAGATTATTCCATGCAAAACAAACCATGAATAGGAGCTAATGTAATTAACTATGGACAATTGCAAAATAATCGTTAGACTTGTCATTTTGTAAATTGAAATGTTTCTACACTTGTGCATTATGCAGCACAGGATCAGTTTACATATGAAATTTGGCTATGCAAGTGTTCATTAAGTATGGAAAAACACAACTGCTACATAACGTCGATATATCGAAGTAGGGCAAACTGAAGGAGAACACACCTAGAACCTCTCGAAAGGAAAATCAGGAAACTTCATTAGACAACATCCCCAAACTTTGACCCAAAGCATGTTTATCTGAACTTGAACACCTTTAGGGAATGGCATCTACTTCAAAACAAAGGAAAAGACCAAGAGGGTCATCAATGTCTCTAAATAAAGAAACTTCAACAAACACCAAAGATGATCAATCAATCCATTCCTCTACCTAAACTAAGGATATAAATATCCTTGACCACTAACACCATTCAAACGCAGCCACAGACTATTAAAACAACTAACATAGATCCAAATAACACTCTTATATTTGATAACTAGTGTTTAGCCATATATTTTGCCATTACTTGGAAAATATATTTGGCAACCATCCAAGTTTTTAAGTTCTAGAGAAAAAAAATAGAATTTGGGTCAAATTTTAGTATTTGGGAATTTTTTAAAATTTAAAAATTACCCAAACTTTTATATTTTATAAGAACACCCGTCATTTATAGTTTTGTACTAAATTTCATTCATAGTTCATTGTACAATATATATATATATATTATACATTTTTTTATCCAAGCTTGCTCTCACTTCCAATTACAAGTAGTAATAGTAGTTTTTGTATACAAATCATTGGTATTTTCCTTTTGTTTTCTTCCTCTCTTTTTTAAATTCATATTAATTATGTTTGTTATCATTTTCACGGAACATTTTTATTATAAAATGATAATATAAATTTATGAGTATTTTTAATAATTATTAGAACTTATGGGTATAAATCTTTTTTTTTTCTAAAGTAAAATATTTCTCCCAAAATCTACGGCGAAATGCATGGTGGAACTTCACTCAAAAATGACTTGTCAAAAATATTTGATAATTTGTGGTTAAACGTGTAACACCCCGTAACTAGAAAGAGCTAGAATTAGAAAGAGTGATTTTTTATAATAATAAAAATCTGGAAAATTGGTTAAGTTAAGTTAAGTTTGAGTTTTTGGTCAACTTCAAACGACCATAACCCCTAGCTCAGGATGATTTAGGTGTGTTTTCAGATATCGTAGGAAAGATCTTGGAATAATCTTTCCAACGCCGCCGAGTTTGCGCTATTCCGAGTTCATATGAGTGAGATATTCCCATTTGAAGTTGGGTTGTTCATTTAAGGAAAGTCTAAACCGGATTTTGGAAGGGTATTTTAGTCTTTTCCTTTCACAATTATTTTAATCCATTTTTAGGAGTTTAATTGGGGTCAAATCAGAATTTGGTCAGTTTAGAGAATTGGAAATTTACGCTAGGAGAAAGGAGAAAAGAGGAGAAAGAAGGAGAAAGGAGAAAAGAGGAGAAAGAAGGAGAAAAGGCAAGATTCGTCAAGAACGTTCAGGTTTGATTGTGGATTTCGTCAAGGATTCAATCCTACGAGGTATGTGAGATCACATAGAGTTGGGTTAGTTCACTCACGCGCCAATAATGATTCAATTCAGCGAAGTTTATTTGATTTGAAAGTAAATCCTATGAGTGCTTGATGGAATTCGTTGGAATTCTTGTGGCTTGTGTTGTTGAAGTTTCTTGAGTTCGATTCATGTTTTTGGGTGTGATTTTGAGTTGAATCTTGTATTATTGAGGGTATAATCGATCCTAAGTGTTTGGGGATAGAACCAAGTTGAAATAGGGGGTTTAGAGTTGAAAAACGAAGGAGAACAGTCGGAGTGCACCTGGGCAGGGGCTTGGGGGGTCGCCCCTCTCAGAGCCCCAAGAAGAGGACTCTGAAGTTTGGGCCCTGGGCACCGCACCAGCCAGCGCGCCCCACCCCAGCTTCTGAAGTTTTCCCTCTGGCGCCCCGCGCCTCTCATAGCGCCAGGGACGCCAGTTTTTCCCATTCCTCCCCATCTTTCCGTACTAGTTCCTTAGCAACGTACCTATGTTTTCTTGTTGATTACAACACTCTAAGGTACGTCTAAACATCATGAAATCATCCATAAACATAAGATCATGAACCTTGAATCCATAATCCAATTCAAGAAAAGTTAAGATCAAAGTCAAGAGAAGTAAGAGTCAAGTCAAGAAAAGTTCTTAGAGTTTTCCAAAAAGTCTTTTCCAAATGTTTTAACTTTGTTTTAAGACTTAAAGTTCAAGTTGAGTAAAGAGTAAGGAGTAAAGATTGAAGTTCATTTCTTCAAAAGTATATGGGGACTACGTATTTCCAAAGAGTTTAAAATGTTTTCACATTTAAACAAGTAAGGAAACCTTGGTTTCCAGAGAGCCTTTGAGCTAGTTTTCAAAAAAGAGTAAACGCTTCCACAATTAAGCAAAGGAGGAAACTTTGATTTCCAAGATAGCATTTGAGCTAGGTTTTTGAGCAATTATCTCAAATCAGAGAAAGAAGTATGTTTTTAAACATAAGAGCTAGTATCATATTTTGGGAGTAGTATTGAGCACCGTTATGGGGGAGAGTTCAGACAACTCACAGCCCCCATAAACCATGTAGTAGTCATCATGGGTAGAAAAGGGTCATACTTTTTAGATGATTCCTTTAGTGCTTTTTAGCATAGACTAATGGATCCACTTAGTAGTTAGGTTCTATACCCTCAGCAAGGTATAGGACGGCCCTTACAGCGTGAGGCAAAATGCGGTATCATCACAATAGCTCTTACATGATGGTTGTCGGTTAGAAAAACTCCCACAGCAGTATTATTTTCTATTTTTATATACATCTCAGAGTTTTATTGTATCTTTGCATACACATCAGAGTTACTATTGTATTCTTAAATACACAGAATTGAGATCCATGTTTTAAATGCTTTTCTTTATATTGCACTTGTTTTGTACTGCATTATATTGAAATGAGTTCAGTTAAGTTGAGTTGAGTTGAGCCAGGTAAGTTCTTCAGTTCCTTTCAAGCTTATGTCTTGTTTTAGAATTTCACTCGCATACTCGTATACTTAATGTACTGATGCCATTCGACCTGCATCTTTTAATGATGCAGATACAGGTAAC